ATCGGTGGTCTGACCAGCGTCATCTTGATTGTTTTAAGTACAGCTAATCTTCAGTTCCAGGGTCGGTTTGTTCCCATTTCTTTGAGGCCAGTTCTCAGAGCTGTGGCCTCTTATGTCATGGCTACATTCTGGTCATCATATAGTTAACTCTTCCACCTGCTGGAGGTTTCAGTGTCTATAAGACAGCTCACAGGATACGGCTCAGAATATTATCTGTAGCCCTTGAGGAGGAACTAAAAGTCCTTGACTTTGCTTACTGACTAAACTATTATTATTTTGTCTCCTTTGACTGCTTTCCTTTGCTTCTGCATGTTCTCACTTCTCTGATTTAACTTATTCTTCGGCTAAAGATTTTCTACAGACAGAAGTCAAGCGGAGGACATGGGGGGCAAGGACCACACGGTCCTGCTCCGTTTCATAAGGACTAAATCTGAACTCTGTCTGCAGCTCTGACCATGAAGCCATAAAGCCACAGGCTGAAAGGAGTGCTTGTTCCAGGGGTGGGAGAGAGCCCAGGGGTGGTTTCAACCTTGTCTCCTATTTCCCCTGGAAGTCCTGCTGGGAAGCAGCCAACCACACTCCTTCCTGGAACGTGCGTGACTGTCACTGTCCTTTGCACGACAATCTGCCAAATCCTGTTATTAATGAAATGAATGATGTCGTTGTCCTTGCTGGCAAAGGCCCACATTGTACAAAGGCGCACTGCTTCATGTTTTGCGGGGGTGGGGCAGGGGTGAGCCATCCTGACAATGAGCTCTCTCAGCTCAGCTTTGGGGGGAGGCCCTGGGGGTGCAGCCCGTCCCCTGCATGCCTGCATTGCATCCGAGCTGGAGCATCTAAGCGCAAAACAAGAAATGAGGCCAGAGCGCATCAGAGCTGCGGCTGCGTCCTCTTGGAGTGACAGATTCGGGGGGGCGGGGGTGGAGACTGTGGTGACGTGTCAGGCTCCCTTAGAGCTGGGCAGGGCTCGCCGCCTGCTGGACAGGCACTGCTGTCCACACTGGGCATCCTCCCCCGTGGCCCCCTCTGCACTGCATCGCTCCCGTCCACCTCACTCTTTCCTGTCCCCCCTTCCCTGTTCCCAAGGGTGGCCGTCCAGCCGCGCCTTGCTTTCCTCTGGCCCCTTGTCTGCACCCTGCAGCTGCTCAGGAGAGGAAGGGAGAACAGGAGAAAGGAAACTAGGCAGAAATGGGTGTGGCTGAGGCAAGGAGGGCTGACTAAGGCAAATACAGACAGAAATGCGGGAAGCTCCTCAAAGAACATCATCTCCGACACACACATGTGGGCACACCCGCACACACACACACGTGCACACACATGCATCCTCCCCTCATCTTGTCTCCAGGAGTATTCTATTCAGGAGTGAGGTCCTCAGGTTTGGAACCAGTTGCCCAGAGTCCTGGTTGAGGAACGCACCTCCACTAGCCTGACGTGTAGCTGGCGGGGCTCTGGGGAAATTAGCAGAGCCAAGAGCCCCGCCTCCCATCTCACCAGAGAGCCAGGTGTCAGAGGCTGTGCCCACCTGACTGAGCAGCCACTGCACCCTCAGCAGGATGGAATAGATGCTCGGAAATACTTGTGTGTGTGGTTATTCATTTTGATGCCCTCCTGCACGCCACTCTCTGAAAAGTTGCGTCGCATAAGCTGGGACTCCCTCTTCTTATTGGGCAAGGCCAACCTTTGATTCTTTTCGTCCCAATAGAGCAAACCACGGTATCCCAGGAGACTGAGGGGACGGTGTAGTTCTTGTCAAGTGCGTGGGTTCTAGAGCCAGGCTGCCTGGGTTTGAACCATGACCCTGCTACTTAGGAGGTGTGTGACACTGCACAAGTTACTTAGCCTCTCTGTGCCTCAGTTTCCCCAGTAAAAGCTGCTGTTGAGGGTACTTAGCTCCTGGGTTGTGAGGATGACAGCAGTTAGCGTGTAGCTGGCGTGTAGAACAGAGGGTGGCCCATGGCAATGACTTAACATGGTAGCTGGTATGTGAGAGTGTGTGTGTGGGCCATTCCCTGCGACGCAGGGTGTCGCCCACACGAGTTCCAGCTCTCTGCCCTCAGGGAGGCATCCTGCCCCCCTCATGGCCTCAGAGGTGGCTTAGCCTGCCTTGCAGGTGGGCAGCCAGAGCTCTGTGAGTCTCGGGGTAACTGGGTAAGGAGGAGGTGAGGTTGTAGGCAGCCAGGCCTCTGTGAGTCTCGCGGTAACTGGGTAAGGGGGAGGTGAGGTTGTGGGCAGCCAGAGCTCTGTGAGTCTCGGAGTGCCGCCCACACGAGTTCCAGCTCTCTGCCCTCAGGGAGGCATCCTGCCCACCTCATGGCCTCAGAGGTGGCTTAGCCTGCCTTGCAGGTGGGCAGCCAGGGCTCTGTGAGTCTCGGGGCAACTGGGTAAAGGGGGAGGTGAGGTTTTTATGCCTTTTGTTGCTTTGCTCGGGGCAGAAGGAATCCACGGTGACATCGGTCACAACCTTATTTTGCAGTTGTGGGATGTTGGAAGGTAAGCTTTCCCCTAAGCTCCACGACCTATAAACCCAAGGGGTATTTAATGAGGGGGAGTGGGCATCGCAGGAGACCCATGGTCTCCTCCCTCAGGGCAGGTCTGTGCCGTGCTCGGAGAAGGGGCACTAGACTCAGGTGGGTCCTGCCTAAACGTCATCGTCCCGTTCTCTGGATCCCACCTGCTTCCCAGGGGTTAGGTGGCATCGTGGCATCTTGGGTCCTGTACAGGGGACTTTTCAAGGGTCTCCCATAACAGGTGTAAGGTTGTCTACCTGTAACGGGTGGTATTGTGAAGACACAGGTGAGAGCTGCCCGCAGAGGGTGACCACAGCCTTCAGCACCGTGTTTACATCCTCCTGACATCAGCCTGGTAGATGCCATATGAGGTCGTTTCCCACGGGGATCTGACGTTTACTCTGCATGGCCAACCTCACAAGCTAACCTCCGTGGTGCGCACAGTGTCTGTCGCAGGGGAGGGAGGAAGAGGAAGCTTGTGGCAGAGGAAGGTCTGGCGTTAAACAAGGAAGACCACCACGGAGAAGGAAGTGGCCTGTCCCCTCTGAGGATGGGAAGTGGGTGTGAGTTGCCGGGGAGGGCAAGGGGACCAGATTAGGGCAATGGCAAAGGAGAGCATCGGGCTGAGGGTGGGAGGGTCCGGCTGGACTCAGGGAGCCTTGAAGTCCCAGCAGAATCGCTTGACTTGATTCTATAGGAAATGGCATGGACTTACGTGGGAAGCCACACAGACTTGTCCTCTGGCTGAGGTCTAGCTGGGAAACTTTCCCAGGCGGAGAGAAGGGCACGGGTGGCTCACGCAAGCGGAGAGACATGTAACCAAGCGTGTCCTGCCGGCCCTGTCGCTAAACCAAATCCTCACGGTGGGGATTATCCATTTCTTTGTGTAGTTCTTCAAGTCTCCTAAATCCTCTTGGTCCCGAGCATGGCTAATCCAGGTCTTACATACACGTGATGTTTCACAAGCCTTCACAGGACCGTAGTCTTGTCAGGAGGAGAAACGGAGGCTCTGGTTTAGGAGCTGCCCCAGAGTCACCATGGAGCTGGACAGAGCATGGGCCGCCCGCCCCTTCATTCAGTGACCTGGCTTTTAAACCTGGTTCTTTCCCAGTATCTTAGAAAGAGAGGAGGAAAGGATATACTTAAGAGAGGGCATTGGGACAAACAGCCATTTAAATTGCTTCTGCGTAAAGGCGGGGTGGGAATTCCTATTCCCCCGATATTCCTTCGGCCGATTGGTGAGCAGAGAGCCGGAGGAAGAGTGAGGGTTTGGCAGGTTCAGAAAGAAATACACTCAATCCTTCACCGTGTGGGATGGAAGGGTGGGGGGAGGAGGGAGAGGTGAACCTGAGATGGGGGGCCTTGCTGCCTTGGGGGAGGCCTGAAGGTTTGAGGTCCCCGCGCACCGGCCTCTCTCAGGGGACCGCCTTTGCTAAGAGTGTGGGGCGAGGGGCTTGGCGGTCCGGGCCTCCCCCTGGGGGCTGACCCCTCTGACTTTCTCCCCACCCTCCCCGGAGCTGCCCCTGCCACCCTTTGCCCTCCTCCTCCCCTGGGCGGCCTCCTGCTTTCCTTCCCTGGGGCCGTGAGTGGCCGGGGTACCCGTCCAGGTGAGGAAGCCAGCCTCACGTCCTGGTCCCCCGTAAGTGTGTGAGTGTGAGCACGAGTGTGTGCGGGCCCGGGGCTGGGATCGCCCACACATGAGAGCTCGGGAGTAGAGAACTTCTAGCGGGTGGGGCCGCCCTGCCCTGGAGCCCGAGGACCTGTCGCTGGGACCCACCACCAACTCCAGCACCCCGAACGGCCAGAGCACGTGGGGCACCAAGCAGAGGAGCCGGGGAGGCGCGACGGGGGTGAGTGGAGACCTGGACGCACTGGGTGGGGCTGGGCTCGGGGAGATGGGGAGAAGCCAGGATGCTCAGAAGTGCTGCAGGCCAGGGGGAAGGGGGGGGGCCCGGGGGGGGGGGGGGGGGGGGGCGCGTCCTGCCTCTCTGCCCCTCCCCGCAGAGGCGTGCCTCGCAATAGCCACGCCCCTCCCCTGGGCGCCCCCCCCCCCCCCCCCCGCAATCTGGGCGCAGAGTGATGGCCGATGGAATCTTCCCGAAGGGGACCATGGGTGGTCGTCCACTGTCCAAGGGTGGGACAGCGGGGCTGCCAGCCCGTGGCCGGGGGTCCTAGACCCTCAACTCACGCTGCGGCGGAGGGAGGGCGTGGGCAGAGGGAGGTGGTCTGCACAAGACCCCCAAACCCCAGTTCTACTCCTAGGTGCTCGCGACGGCCCTGGTCCTGGAGAAGCTCTGGAATAAATACCCGTGGGCCTTAGAAAACAGAGGTAGGAGGGGGTGTGACCTGTTGGCGTCTTTCTTATGTTTATTCCGCCCGGACTAATGCCAGACATTTGGAGGAAGAAGCGGTGGTAACCGGCAAGGCCTGGGGAGCTAGGTGAGGGAGGGCTGGGTGGCCGTGGGCCTGGTGGCCAGCTCAGCTGTCCCCCCTCCCCTTGCTTCTCCAGACCCGAGGCCGGAGTCCTGGTTTCTGGTGCACTGGTCGCTACCAGTCACCCCACTCCTAGCCTTCTATCTGCTCCTGGGGGTGACAGGTCCTCGCCTCGTGTCCCCTCGGGAGCCTCTGAGGCTGGCAGGACCCCTTGCGGCCTACAACCTGGGCCAGGTGCTTCTCTCGGGGGTACATGTTCTATGAGGTAAGGCCGGTGGGGGGCCCTGCAGTCCTAGGGTCTCTTTTTTTGGGGGTGCCAGGGGACAATTAAAACCACGATCTTCCCATGCAGACAGCTGAAAAGCCTTGATGGGGATCTGCAGGGGCTGGGATCCTGGGTTATTTTTGGCTGCGATATCTTCCCTATGGAGACACAAATCCCCATCGCTTACGCCCATTTTCCTTTTCCTGAAATAAAAAAGTGGAGGTCAGTGGCAAGCAAGAATGGAATTCATCCTCCACCTGCACCTAAAAACCCACCACTACCTCCTGTTTCTGCTGGGCTCTGCTAATTTCAGCCCAGTTTTCTGATCCTTCCTGATGCCTTGTTCTCGGCAAAGAGTCCATCAGCCAGTGTGCACTGTGTGCGTGCTTTGTGCCAGACCTGCAGGGTCACCGCTGCGTGAGGCACACCTGCCCTCCAGGTGCCGGAGGTCTAGGGGGAGATGGATGCAGAAACAGGCGATTGCAAGTCAGTGCAAGCGGGGCCATAGAGAGCATGCACGCGGGACAGGGCGGGCGGAGCGGCAGGGACCCCGCTGGGGTGTCCGGGGAAGCTTTTCAGAGAAAGTGGTCCTGGCGGCTGACATGTAAAGTGGTCACCACAGCGAGCCCGTGCACTGCGGCCTTTGTGAAGATCTGCTCATCCCACCCTCTGTCACGAGGCACGGTGCAGGTAAGTACCTTGGCAGGTGGCAGGGCGCCCTGGCCGCAAGCTCGCCTCCATCCTTCCTGCCTCCATGCCAGCAGGGACCAGGCAGGCGGTCCAGCCTGAGGAAGCAGGTCCTGACAGCTCTGCCTTGTTCGTTCACCATCTCTCCCTTAGTGATTGGCCTGCCTTCCTTGCCCCGCACTGCTGCCCAAATGATCCTTCCCAGCCACCGAAAGGGTCCTGCCATGCCCGCAGCGGCCCTGATGTCTTCCTGGCCAGCAGGGCTCCTCCACTGGGTGTACGGGGCCTCCCAGGTCCTCTCTGGCCTCAGCTTTCCTTTCCAGCCTCACCTCCCTCCACACCCCATGGTCGCCCTGCTCACCTGCCTTGCAGCCCCGCTGGGTCAGGCCCAAGGCCCTGGCAACTGACTGTTTTTCTGCCAGAAATGCTCTTCTCCCCTGGTGCCCAGACAAATCCCCGCACGTCCTATAGACTCAGGCCTTTGTCACCTCTTGTGAAGTTTCCCTGAGTCCCCAGGGCTGGGTTAGTTGTCCCGTCACTTGCTTTTCACTTCTGCTCTCCGTGGTGGACGGGCAGCCCCACCAGCTGGTGAGCTCTAAATGTGAGTGTCTGCATCTCCCCAGCTCCAAGTTCAGTGACCTCCTTTGAAATCAGCCAGGGTGGGAGGATTTACACCTTAGGAACGGGCAGACACTGCCAATCAGCCCCTCCCCGCCGAAAGCCTGCTAGGCATTGACCAGCAGCATCCTTCACTCTGACCCACCCCTGTTTCATCATGTACACATTTGTCTGTCTCCCCTCCAAATGGCAAGTGCTTCGAAAGCACAGCCATCTCTTACTTCTCTTTGTAAAGACAGGCCCCACATAACGTCTGGTACCATGTGGAAGATGCTGATACCTTGTGAGACATGTCCTAGGATTTGTCATTTAATTGTGGTGACAGATGACTGCTGCCACCGCGATCCTCTGAAAGTCTGCTGTGCCCATGTTGGCTTCCTGCTCAGAAGCCCTCCATAGCTCCCTTTGCCGATATAACCTGAATGGAGAGCCCTCGTGTAGGGATTTTTATCTGTTTTATCATCGAGGTGGCTCGGGACTCAGCGCAGGGCCCAGCGTGGAGAAGTGTTTAGGACCAGACAACGCATCATTGTCAAATGAGTAAACAAATGATAAAATTCAAGTTTCTTAAAGCAGCCTTCAAGACCCCTCGTGAACTGATTCCGCTCTCTCTCAACTTCTGTGGCTGCCCCTCCCCTGGTAGAAGTCTCCACTTGCAGCCCTGGAGAGTTAGGAGAGGTCCAGACACTCTCCTCCTGGCATAAAGCTCCCTTTCCCTCCCCTCCATTTGCCCACCACCTCCCCATTCTCAGCCGGCTACCAACTTCTGGGACATCTCCTGTTTCTTACTCTTCATCTGGCCTCAACCTGGAAAGTGAGGATGGTTTCCTGCGTCCTCAGGGAAGCTCTCGGCTTCTCGGGGGCAGGGGGTGCTGATGTGTGCACGGCTTCATGTCCCCTCCTGACTTAGGGTCTCACACATAGTAGGTGCCCAGCGTGGGTTTGTGGTCTATATTTGCCCCCATCAGAAAAAAAATTGGAGACCAGCAAGATGTATGCAAGTCCTAGCCTGTGATCTAGCCAGTGCACAGAGTTTACCCGGTTGGCGATTGTTCACCAAGTGTCAGTGAGGGTTGGGGAGGGATGCTGGTGTCCAGAACATGTCCGGAGGTGGCACCAGCCTCTTGGGCCTTCAACCGGTCAGGCCCCACCACGGTGAGGGTGGGGCAGGTGTCATGACTTAATCTTTTTCTGTTCTCTTCCTGTTAGTTCATGGCCACCTCGCTCCTGGCTAATTACAGCTATTTCTGCCAGCCAGTGGACGACAGCCAGAGTGAGCTCAGGATAAGGGCGTGGCGGGGAGTGGGAGGTTTGGGCCTGGAGAGGGGGTTCATAGGATGAACTTCATAAAAACCAGAACTTGACCCAGGTGCCATCACCCAAGAATTCCAATGGGAGGTAGTGAGCTGATTAGTTCGGTACAGGCTCAGAAGACCTCAGTTTGAATCCCAGCTCTGCCAGTTCCTTGCTATGTGAGTGTAGGTAGTTTATTACCTTTTACAGGCCTCATTTTTCTTATCTATAAAATGGGGATGATAACACCTACTTGATAAAAGGAAACAATTGGAAGAAGGTTGAACCAGCTGATGTATGGAAGTGTTTAGCCCTGGGCCTGGCACACCTTGAGTGAGAGTCAAGTGGTCCATATTTCATGACTTTTAGCTGTTCTCTCTTTCAACCAGAAGCAGAACAAAAGTCTTCCTTGCAGCAGAAAATAAATTGAGCTGAGGCGTAGCAAGTCACCAGGCAGTGATGTGGGTGTTGAATCAAGGGATATTGAACGATGGCTTAAAGTCCTGCTGTTGAAAATGTGGCCCACGGACCAGTGGCATCAGCATCACTGGAAGCTTGTTGGAAATGCAGACTCTCGTGTCCCGACTGGGAATCTGCTTTCCAACAAACAGGATCCCGGGTGATCCATGTGCTGGCTAAAAGTGATGACTTGGGAGATTGGGATTGACATATATACACTAATATGTATAAAATGGATAACTAATAAGAACCTGCTGTATAAAAAAATAAATAAAATAAAATTCAAAAATTAAAAGAAAAAAAGAAAAGTTTTCAGCTAATAAATGAAGAAGGAATGACAAAAAAAAAAAAAAAAAAAAGTCATGGCTCCAGGCTGGGGCATGTTTGGAGAGGGCGTCTGTTATCGCTCCCAGTAGCTTCTCTTCCTCTTTTCTGTGCTAACAGGCATCTTCTTGCAGACAGGTGGGCGCTGTGGGAGCAGGGGGTACAGAGGGATTGTCAGGGTTGCCAGGGCGAGTGGTACCACCAGCAGGACAGTGGCCTGACTGTACGTCCCCTCCCTGCCCAGCAGATGGCGAGCGTGTGCTGGCGGTGCTTCTCAAAGGCCGTTGAATTGCTTGGCACGGTGGGTGCCTGTCCCTTGTGTAGAATTACTTCTGTCAGCCAGGTCTGGGGTGGTTTTGAAGACGCTGTGTGCTGACGTTTCTCTCCAGCATCCCTACTGGCCACTCCTGAGGCTGACCTCAGAGCCGAACCTTGGTCTCACGACCTGGAGGATGAAGGATGCTCACTGATGAAGCGTTTGCCCCCATTAGCAACCAGGTTCTAGGTTAAGTGAAAATAGGAAGTTAAACAAATTTAAAAACCTGTTGCTGTGTGGCAAAGGTCATCAGACAGCAAAGGCCATCCTTAAGTGTTATGAGGGAAAGAACCCCTTGTGAATTCTTGTGGATCCAGAAGGCTTGCAGGATTGCAGGGGTAGTAATAAAATCTCTCTCAAACGCGGGAAACCTTTGGGAATTTGCCTTATAATTGTCTGGGTCCTGGATTGAGTGTTCCACACCTGAGTTCTCTCCCAGTGCCCTGGGGGGTGGGGTAATATTGGAAAGAGCCCGATCTCTGAAGCCTGGTTGTGTTCACATCCCAGCTTGTCTTCCTACTAGTTGTATAACCTTGAACAAGTTACTTAAACACTGTGCCTCAGTTTTGCTGTCTATACAATGGAGATGAGTATAAACCACATACCATTATGAATGTTATATATATAAGTTTTTATACATACAGGCACACGGTAGGGGCTGTACAGGTGTTTGACTGGTGTTAAACCCTATTGGGTTTTAGCCTCCCCTCAGTACGACTGGCAGAATCGCCCTGTCCTTGGTAGTTGAGGCCCCAGGAGAAGAGTCTGGAGGAGCAATGGCCCCAGAGCTGACTCTTTTCTTTCTCCCCAGGTCTTTTTATTCTACGAAAGAAGCCTGAACAGATCACCTTCCCGCACGTCTACCACCATGGCACCGTGCTCCTCAACTGGTAAGTTGGGGTCACATATGTGCTGGAGGGTCAAGGTGAGTGAGGGTCTTGGGCATCCCTGTTCCAGGACTTGTGGGGCAGGCCTGTGTCTGCTGGACTGAGTGCCATCTAGGGAGGCTTGCATCCTTGTAGTATCATGGTTTGGCTCCCAGGTTCCCCTTCCCTGTGGCCATGATTCCTGGCCTCTGCTCCCATTTTCTCTCTGTTGCTCTACAGAGCATCCTAGCCACCCTTCCCTAGTGTGCAGGAGGAGGCTGCTAGGGGATGCTCATCGCCATCAGCCCAGAGAGGGCGGAGGGAGCTGTAAGCATCCTCATTTCACATCCTCTTAACCCCAGCCCACCATCGTGACCTCAGACGGCTCATGCGGGACCTCCTCATCATAGGACCTTCCCAGGGCTCTTGTCTGTGGGGTGTGCAGGGGTGCACCTTGGAGGATTGAAAACTGAAAGAGAAAACCCAAGAGCACAGCCAGGCCCAGCTCCACTCACTTCCCTCCATCTCCCCACCCCACTCTTTAGCCGTCTTCGCCGGGATGCTGAATTCTTTGGTCCATGTCTTCATGTACCTGTACTATGAACTGGCCAGTCTGGGGCCCCGCCTGTGACCCTACCTGTGGTGGAAGCGACATCTTACCATCCTGCAGCTGGTGAGAGAGACCCACTGGCTCCAGGGGCCTCAGATGAGCCCTGGCTTCTATTCTTGGCTGCACCAGTGACTTGTTATCTGACCGTGAACAAGCCCTTCTCATCACTTGGTCTTCCTTAGCTTCTCAACTCGCAAAGGTCTAGTAACCACCTCGCTAGATCCTAGGACCAACCCTAACTCTCTGACATAACGTGGGGCTCAGATCGAGCGGTTAACACGCTTCGGGCCTCGGTCTCACCTCCAGTGAAATGGGAGGGGTGGGCTGGGCTAGATGCCCTCAGAGGGCTAATGCCCTGCGAGTCTGTGGCCACTGATCCACCCCCCCAGGGCCTGGGGGCCCTGTGGTTTGGGGAGCACCATTGCCAGGTGCAGGTGACAGCCTGAGCTGTCCTTCTCGGGGCTGAGGATGGATTGAGGTCGTCATCAGTGTCAACGTGGCACGGCTGGATGGGGGCCAATGGGAGACCAGACTAAGAGAAGGGTCAGGAAGGTACTTAGCACCACAGGTAGGAAAGCTTGGGGATGGTGCTTCATAGCTCTTCTTCTTCCTGAGCTGTGGGAGGCCTGCCCCTGCTGGTAGACAGAGGGGACTACAAGAAGGTCAAGGGGAGCACCCCTCCTGTTCCTTAGCACTGCTTCTCACCTTTCTCCGTCGTCTTCTCTTTCCTCTCGCACTTCCTCTCCCCTGTGTCAGTTTGTGGCCATTGTGGCCCACTCCTCCTACAACGTCTTTGCTGAGTGCCCCTTCCCGGATGGGTTCAATGTGGCCGTCCTCCTGTACTCCCTCAGCCTCATCCCCTTTTTCCTCAACTTCTACCACCAGACATATCTGAGGGGCAACAGGAGAAGCTGGCTTAAGGGGCGGGACCAAGGACTGAAGCTAACAGAGCCATCCCTAGAGAGAGTTTGGTGGAAGATGGCATGACTCACATCCCACTCATGCTGAGCAGATTCCTCTGGGCCCCGCACTTCATCCTATGAGGGAAGGACAATACTCGCCTCCTTCCAGAGTTGAGGAGAACAGAAATGGACCAGCTTCCTGAACTCACTTCTCCTGTGGATTTGTCACTGTTTGTACACCTCCTTCCTCTACTAGACATGATCCCCCCACAGGAGGGATTGTCTTACTCTCAACGTTTCCCAGACCTGGCACAGCAACTCAATAAATGTGCATTTAGATCCCAATCTTCCCCCACTGGCAGTCATGACCTCTGATGAGAAGCAGGGCTGAGAGCAGGAAGGAAGTCAGGGTTGGCTTGATCTCCCACCTTGCAGGCTGGGTCAATGACTGAGAACATCCAAGGAGTGCGGGTCTGTGTGATTTCTAGCATGGTTGTGCAAACGGTCCCCCTGCATATCTCTCTGTCTGTTCATGAGTGCCCACACATGTATTTACATAGTTGTATGATTCTGTGTGTGAGAATGGGGCGGCGGAGAGGGCTACACATATATGTCTGACTACTTGTTTTCAAATCACGTGTGTGTTTCTGTTTATGATCTTCTCTGTTGATGTTTTTTGCTTGCCTCTTCTGTAACTCTCGGAAAATGCCACACTAGCAAATAAAAGCTATTGGGATCCGTAACTTTCCTGTCCCAATGGGAGACGTGGAAGTCCACAAGAGGTCTCCGAATACATGTTCCACGGAGAGCCTCCCAAAAGGGATGTGGGTAAAGGAGGGGTGGGGTTAAACAAACGCAGCCATCCACTTCACAGAGAGAGAAAGAGAGGACCAGCAAAAGGAAGTGTACAGTATAGGAGGCTGAGGTCGCGTGGGATGTTGGAAGCAGACATCTGCTTCTCTGTTTATGACCGGAACTGGATGGGAGCCTGGAATGCAGTTTCCCTGGGAGCTGCCTCTATGCTCGCAGGATGCTGTTCTCCTTTATAATCTCTCCCCGTAGCTCTTCTCCTTCACTAGGGAAGTTCTTATTTTGCCATAAGAACTCAACAGTCAAGAACATTAAAGACCTGCTGAAGTTTCTGCAAGGCTATTTGGGGACTATTTATCTATCCATCAGGTACTCTAGTTAATTACCTCAAGGCCAGGCAGGGCTGCACCCTGTGGGCAGAATACTCAGAGAAAATTCCCTCCCAGTTATGCAGGATGTGAAGGCCTCCCACACACTTTTCCACAGCAGGTTGAGTGCCTTCGCAGGTGGGGGCTTATCTTAAGGCAATCATTTTTTTCTTTTTTTCTTTACTGCATAAGAGTAAGGTCTGTTCGTTTGATTAGCAGCCAGGATAAGGGAAAGAGGAGTCACCCCAGAGTTCAGAGCTAACATTTGTCCTCTGTGGCTGCCTCTGACTGATTAAGTAGCACAAGAGGAAACGCTGTCCTGGATCACCTCTGAATGAAGTAAGGTTTTGGCAGAGAGAGCCCAGCATTAAGCAGCATGGTGGAGAGGGTTTGGGGAAAAATTCTTAGTGAGCTGAAAGTGTCCATCCTTATTTTAACCTGCCTTTTACTGTAATTACCTCATTCACGGCTGCTGGGCAGGATGTTGTATATCGGTGTAGAGAGGTTGTGTGAAATTATAAAACACAAAGTTATTTGTATTTGCCAGAACACAGCCAGATTCCTAATTAACATGGCAGAAGTTCACGTCTATGAACTTTTGAAGATAATGGGAATCAGGAGTGCTGGTTAGATTTTTTTTTTTTTTGCGGTACGTGGGCCTCTCACCATTGTGGCCTCTCCCGTTGCGGAGCACAGGCTCCGGACACGCAGGCTCAGCGGCCATGGCTCACGGGCCCAGCCGTTCCGCAGCATGTGGGATCCTCCCAGACCGGGGCACGAACCCGCGTCCCCTGCATTGGCAGGCAGACTCTCAACCACTGCGCCACCAGGGAAGCCCTGGTTAGATTTTTAAATCTATAACAGGGCTGTGCTATTGCCCAGAGAGTGTCCATTTGCCAAGACACAGCGGCCCAGATTGCCCAGGGGTAGGTCGCAGAGACAGAAGGGGGGTGTACCTCCCACGATGGGGCCAGAGCTACTGGTCTGGGTCCCTGGCTATCACCTCCTAAATCAGAGCACACCTAATTAAAGGAATGAAAACCACCCCACATGGAGCAGCTTCCTGGTCCTCTCCCAGCTCAGAATTCAGTGAAGACCCCCTGCCTGTCCCCATATGCATCCTGCTGTCCACTCAGCTGTCCGTGTGTCCCCAAGGCTGATGCGTCTGAGCAGGCTTCTGGAGCCAGGAATCAGAGGAAAAGGCCAGTCTCCTTTCTGTCACCCTGCTTTCTCTCCCTCTTTCTCTAGTTCTCTGTATAAATGGTGGTGGTGGTGGGGATCCCTCGAAGAGAGAAAGCAGCCTCCGCCTTTGGTCTTTTGTCCCTGGGGAGACTTAGGGCAAAATGTCTGTTACAAAGGAGAATTTTAATTAGGGTTTGTGACTTCCGAACCTCAGATCAGGAGCTAAGACCTTATGGATGTGTGGTGGAAAGAGGAGGGAATAAACTACCAAAGAAATGAAAGATCTTGGCTTCGAGGCTCTGCACTGCAGTGAGGGGAGGGCGGGTGAGGACTCGTGAATAAAATTGGGGAAGGTTCATTTAAGCGGACCACACACAGACCCATGATCAAGGGGACCGTGCTGGACAGAGACAGCCCGGCTCCTCAGAAGCCACGGCTGAGGCCACAGCCTGCCTTTGCCCTCTTGCTGCCTGGGGAAGGGATGGGGCCTCACATCATCTTTTAGTGCCCTTTTCACGTCTAGGATTCAGTATAGGAGTTGCTTTCAGCTAAAGATATACTCTGATAGAGATGGAATAATAACCTATGTTCACTAAGAACCCTCCTTTTACAACCATTTAATAATTTAGCGATGCAATGTTAAACAAAAACGTAGACGCATCCCAGCTTTGCAAAGAATTTCATCTAAAATGTAAACGCAAAAACGTTAACCATCAGATGGTGAGATTATGGCTGTCTTCAATTTCTTTGTATTCCCTGGTGCCTGCCATGCCTGTTCTTTTTTGAATCATAAACGTTTACTCCTGCAATGTGATGAATTCAGGATACCTCAGCTGTTCTTTTTTCCTGAGAATTATGGAAGCCTCGATTGGATCCACTCATCAGGCTTCATGCTGCGGTGGATGCAACCTTGACCCCACTGGTGACCTCTCAGTGCTTCCATACACACCTCAGGGGCTCGCTGACGCACTGGGCTCTGGGCGAGGGGTCGGACACAACCTGACTGCATTTGTACTGTAAGGACCAGGTAATTGCTTAAAAAGCCAACCTTTACCCATTCCCACGGAAACTTTTTTCCGTGGGAAAGTTTCCCACGGAAACTTTTCCCAGGGAAAGTTAGGAAGAAATCCAGCTGGTCCCAGTGTGGGAGGGGAAGAAAACTGAACTAAACTGATACATGATGTCAGATATGAAGATAGCTGAATCCAACCTTCCTGCTGGCTCCATTCCTGGGTTTGAAGTCAGCTCCCAGGACATGACAAGTGTGGACTCTAAACAGAAACAAAAACACCTTCTTAAGAGTTAATGAGGACTTCCCTGGTGGCCCAGTGGGTGAGACTCCGAGCTCCCCATGCAGGGGACCTGGGTTTAATCCCTGGTCAGGGAACTAGACCCCGCACGTGTGCGGCAGCTAAGAGTCCTCATGTGGCAACTAAACTAAACTAAATAAATAGATAAAAAATAACAAGATCCCGCATGCCGCAAGGAAGATCCCGCGTGCTGCATCTAAGACCCAGCACAGCCTAAATAAATAAATCTTTAAAGAAACCCAAATAAACAAACAAAAAGAACACTTAAAAAAAAAGTGTTAATGAAAATGCGATACATCTAAGAGCTAACTTTTGCCCAGGACCACGGACTCCTTTTGAATTCCTAGGAAAGGTTTCTTGGAGTGAGACTTTAAAGAGGAGAAGGGGTCTTCACATCTGTAACAGCAGCGGGTCGGTGGCTGTGAATGGTAATGATCCCCAACCTACAGCCCTGTCGAGTTTCAAATGACCTTAGGATTGAAAAACTGTTCTTCTTTTTCTGTAAGTCTACTTCTGTTTTGTAGATACGTTCATTTGTAGCCTTTTTATAGATTCCACATGTAAGCAATAGCATATGACATTTGTCTTTGTCTGATTTACTTCACTCAGCATGACAATCGAGGAATAAATCGGGAGATTGGACTGACACGTACACACTACTATATATAAAATAGAAAACTAATAAGGGCCTACTGTATAGCACAGGGAACTCAATACTCTGTCATGACCTATATGGGAAAAGAATCTAAAAAAGAGTGGATCTATGTATATGTATAACTGATTCACTTTGCTGTACAGCAAAAACTAACACAACATTGTAAATCAACTAGACGGGCCCAGCCGCTCCGCGGCATGTGGGATCCTCCCGGACCGGGGCACGAACCCGCGTCCCCTGCATCGGCATGCGGACTCTCAACCACTGCGCCACCAGGGAAGCCCCTGTTTTTACATTTCTAAAAAAATTTTATTTTTTTTAAATTGGAGTATAGTTGATTTACAATGTTGTGTTAGTTTCAGGTGTACTGCAAAGTGTTTCAGTTATTTATATATATAAATAACTGAAATAATATATAAATATATATAATATATAAATATGTATATGTTCTTTTCCATTATAGGTTATTATCAATACAAGATATTGAATAGAGTTCCCTGTGCTCTACAGTAGGTCCTTGTTGTTCATCTATATTATATACAGTAGTTTGTACCGGTTAATCCCAAACTCCTAATTTACCCCTCCCCCTACCTTTCCCCACCATCACACTTTAATTAAACACTGAATGTGTATGAGTAGCGCTCAGCCTACACCTGACAGCTGACGTCTTCCAGGGGCCTTTGCAGGGGTGAAGTGTGGCATAATACAGAAGAAACACTTGGTTACAAAAGCTCTGTGTTTTATATTAGCGTCTGTGAGCCTGGAGACTTCTGGAAATGTGAGCTCGCTGTAAGGAGTTTCCAGCAGTCGCCGTGGCGGCTTTTTAATGACTCCAGTTGGCTTGGCTGGACTAGTTCCCCAGGACTCCCTTCCCAGTCTGTTTTGGGTCCGAGTGGGCACAGGAGACATTTTGCAGGAGATCTGAGGGGACAGCTGTGTCATTTTCATTCTTGAAGGCTGGGCGTGTGCCTTTGTAGCTCACACGCTGTCACTCATCTGCCGACCCATGTCCTGGGCGTGGGCAGCAGGTGGGCCATCCCTGGGGTCCTCACCCTCTCTGGTCCCTGGGCCACACGAGGGTTTGGTGCCACCACAGAGGGCTTCTCCTGCAGGACGAGCCCGTCACTGGGCGGCGGTGGGGTGGGGGGAGGAGGCGGTGAGAACTGACAGGGCCTTCATCCTTCTGCCCTGGGGATGCAGCTCATCCATGACCCCTGCCAGCTCGCTTGCCAGCCTCCGCCCTGGGGAGGGTCACAGCCCCGCAGAGACGGTCACCAGCCCCCGCAGCTGCACAGGGCCAGCCCCTGTGGTGGATTTTTCATCACGCAGGCCTCTGGTCAAACCGTGCTTGATGCCATCTCCTTGCAGGTACACCAACTCCACAAACTCATAGAAAACCCTGATCAGAAAATGGAGAGAAGTCCCCTGGGGCATATCTCCAGGTGTGTGAGAGCTGGAGCAAGCAGGGGAGGGGCACCAGGGGAGGGGGACCAGGGGAAGGGACTCCAGGGGAGGGGCACCAGGGGAGGGGCACCAGGGGAAGGGACTCCAGGGGAGGGGCACAAGGGGAGGGGCACCAGGGGAGGGGGACCAAGGGAGGGGCACCAGGGGAGGGGCACCAGGGGAGGAGCTCCAGGGGAGGGGCACCAGGGGAGGGGCACCAGGGGAGGGGGACCAGAGCTCCTGTGCAGTGAGCGCTCAGAGCAGCCTGGCCCTAGAATGGGGAGTGTCACCACTGCCCAGGTGTGCTGTCCCTACCTGGCCAACCCTGGGGCCCTTTCTGAAGACCCACATCCCGGTCACCTTCCCTCCTTGGGTCAGCTCGTTGTTTTAAGATCATCAACTAAGAAATCTCAGAACGGAGATCTGGACTTCTTGGTCTGTTAGGTGAAATCTCAGTTGAAATGTAAGGAAAGATTAGGAAGTCTATACGTGCTCAGTGAGGTCTGGTCTTTCTTTTCTCTTTCTCCTCCTCCCCTCCTTCCCAGTACCCAATAAAACAGCGGGAGGAGAGGATGGTTGGAGATTATGTGAGTGTGCTGTCTCCAGCCTCACTGAGTTTGGGGATCTGAGAGAGGAGAGACCTCAGTGAAGTTCAAGGAGATAGCACATCTTGTAGGTGAATGTGCTAACAGACAATGGCCAGACCATATACAGAAGTAGAACTCGGACCCACAGTCTGCAGAACCAGCCCAGGAAACCAACCTGCCATCCACAAGCAGACTTGGAGGAAGTCAGACCGCCAGCTCTAGCAACTGGTCCAGGAAGACAAACAATAACCCCTATAACAATCGCTCCCCAACACTGGACCTGATGAATAACTGGCAGCTTCCCTAACCTTTGTCCCTGCTTACAACTTAGGACCAATCAGAGAGAGCTAAGTTCCAATCACATAGGATGTTCCACTTCTATTAGAGTGTTCTCCAGGCCAACAGTTTCCAACCAGGGCACACCTGAAGCCTTCTCTTTTCCCACTGTCAAGCTATCCCATCTGTCTG